AATAATATATAAAAAAAAAAGTAAAAATAATATAAAAAAAAAGGTCGATTGGTGCCCCGGAGCCCTTCACAGCCTGATCTTACGATCTGATTGGTTGATCAGATTTTAATGCTAATGTCGCCAAAGGAAAACCAGACCTCGGACTTACAATTTTATTTGTTGCTGACATGTTTTAGTTCAGTAAGTAATTTAGAATAATTTTATTTATTGTATTTATGAATATAAGAAAATATATAAAAAATTTATGATACATTTATAAATCTAAGAAAATATATAAAATAATTTATGATATATTTATATAAATATTTAAAATAAAAAAAAACCTATTTTAAAGGAAAATTTTTTTAAATATTTATATAAATCTACAGTAAATAAATATGTATATTCTTAACATAAACAAGCAACATTATCAATCATACCAACACAACTATATATACATGGACATTTATTACAACGTTGTAATAAACCACAATCACTATCTGAATTACATTGTGCGCATATTCTAGCACTATTACATGTATATCCACTTAGACATTGTGTTGAGTCACATACACATTTACCATTTACACATTTATTTGGAGAAATGCAACTTGGTATACATGAAAGAACTGGAGCTGGCGGAGATGATGAAGGTGGTGAAGATGGTGAACTTGGCAAAGTACAATCTAGTTTTCCACATTGTGCACAAGAACCACGTACTCCGTAATCACATACACTTGGCCGCCAGTATTGCATTCATAAACATGACAAGAATTACATCCTACCATTCCAGAAGCTCCACCACAATATTGACCTTGTGTAGCAGACGAAGGACATTTACATGTAGTAGTATAATTACAGGAAGAGTAGACAATATTATCACATACAGATGATACATTAGATATAAAAAATAATAACCCGCTCACCAAAAAAAGAACGAGATATTTGAAATTACTTTGAAATGCCACTAAAAATATATAAATATATAATTAATTAAATAATTGTTGAAATTTTTAGCAATAAAAACAA